TCGGGGTTTGAACTTTGGAGGGCGGATTTCAGCTTGAGAAGTACTTGAAGCTCGTCGGATTTGATAGAACAAATCAAGGAGAAGAAAAACAGGGCATAGAAGGAGAAGAGCTGTTTGGATGAATTGGAAGCTGACATATCGAACGGTGAATGGTGGAGGTGAGTTGATGGAAAGGAGGTGACTTTGGGTGAAGTTTCTTTGGTTAGAGACAAATAATGAGAGTGGAGTTGGGGACAGAAAATGGTATTATAACTAAGCTGGCGGGGTTTCCATTGCCGGGTACTCTTTAATGAGGGACAGAGAAAGAAGAAATGGAGGTTCCCCTTTTTTCCTTAATGTATATGAAACCACTTCCTTCCTGCTGTATCTTCTTGGGATAATTTTAATTGCTTAAAGAATACAAAACGGGATTTGCCATTAGCAGAGGGCAGACAGCTTTTGTTTTCAGGAAAAAAGGAGTTAGACTAAACTGCATTAAATTATATAAGATTAATTACTGAATGAGAATATACTTATGAAATTAAAGGCTTTCCCCCATTTAATTGTTTTTATTTGACAATTTTTATTCAATTATTTCTGCTTCACAATTAAGACTACAAACCAGCTTTTATCATATTTCGAGGTGGTTTCTCTGATTTCAGGTTTATGGTACTTATTAATTGCGGCCCGCCCACCATTATAATGATTTAATGATGGTCGAAAAAGGAAGAAGATCAGAAGCAGCCATAGCCCATAGTTTTTTTTTTTTTTTAATGAATGGATGGTTTATTTGCTCAAGAAAAAAACCCTAACAGGATACTGTATTTTTTTTAATGAGGAATATTAAAGCAACTTTAATTGGTGTACACCCAGATCTAACATCTAAGTGTGCATCTCAACATAAAAAAAAAATTAGATCAGGTAGTGATGGGGTTTTTTTTTTCCAATGAGGAGTGTGCACACATCATTTTCCATATTAAAGACACCATTATAATTGGACAAAAAATAATTAAAGATGTTCTTACTCTGTATAACTTTTCAAGAAATCAAGCCTATACCATTAAAAAAAAAAAGCCTTATTATGGTAAGGGATGGTAGAAAATTAAAAAGATTCATAAAAAATATTTAAACAAATTTACAGATTAATTCTGATATTTTAGGGTACCTTAATTTTTTTTCTTAATTTTAAAATTTAAAATCTATTTTTTTATACAAAAAATCCTTATAACCCATATAAACAGGAACCGAACATGGCCTATTCTGGAGCAGGCTGTTTGTCTTGTTTATTAGCAGAGGTCTTGTTTACACCATTTTGTTAGTTAAATTAAGAGTCTTTTAGTATAATATTTAAAATTTAATAGATAAAAGAAAATGAGTAGTTGATAGTGAATAGTAAATGATAATTAGTGGATAGTGGGTTACCTATTCGTAAATAGTATATTTGATTAATACAACTGTTTGGTTATATAATAATTAATAATTATTATTTAAT